CTCAGCCTCCATTTGGACAAGCACCCGTGGAATGTCTTCATTAAAATACTCAAGCTCATCATTTATGCAGAGCAAAAACGACCTGAACTATACAGTTAGAGCCACTGCGCCAGCGATTTCAGTTTCGCGTGTCATAACAAGTCGCTCCTGCTGCGACCCGTCGATCTCTATGATCGATCACTATTTCTTTTTGTCTCAGACATTTTTTTGTTGTTTTGATATTCAGGAAAAAACAATACACACTTTTTATAAGGAACTGTGTTTTTTCGAAAATATCTGAATACAAAGAATCTTCCCTTATTTGGAGGAAAAATATGTAATGACTGAATTAAAGAAATATTTTCGACAAGTGATATTGTTTGTTGTGATAATATTTCAAGCTTCAGTTAAAATTTAAGCGGTTTAATAATATTTATTGTTATGGTTTGAGCACGAGCGTGTTGATAATATAATTATTTGGATTATATATCCGTTGACAAGCATGTCATACCGATCAAAATAAAAAAATAATTACGGTATTGCTGATAACCTTTAGAATATTTTTAAGCAGGGTAAAAAGATTAATGCATTTACACGAGTACCATTAAAAAGATGAGAGAGGAGCATTTATTATTTAACAATAAAATTTGGATGAATTAAATTAAATTTTTTATAATTCTTATCAATAGGTTTCCACTTACAACGATTTACAAATATTTAAAAACTTCTGGAAATTGTTATTTTTTATTCGTCAATCATATATTTTATTAATTTCTCAAAAAGTATTTTTATATTACCATTAGTATTACCCTATCCTACTTTTAAGGATAATTATTTTTAAAAACATATTTTTTAAAAGCGTTTTGAAAATTATACAATAATTATTAGCACTACAAGAAAATAAAAATAAACAAAATAAAAAAATGCATATTGTTTGTATTCTTTTTACATTTCAACTCAGTTGAATTTTTAAATCATATTATAAAGAAGTTCATACAGACAACTCGAATATTAAAAAAAGAAACAAAGAACAAAAAGAAATACTCAAGAGACAATATTTGAAGAATGGCAATGACAAAGCTTTTTCAAAGTTTTATGTAAGCATGAAACAACTATTTTAAATAACCATTTCCATATAAACAAAATTAACAGCCAGTTAGATCAGTGAATGCATCATTTTAATTCATCATTAAAAGAAGAAAACACCAAGATAAACATCAGGTAATACGATAAAACCTCTGTTGGAAAACCTAATGATTTACCAATATTAACAATAAAATTATTAAAACAAAACTATTATTAATACAAAAAGAACTTACTGACAATTAAAATACAATTATTAAACTTTCTAATTTTTACTAAAAATTTTCTAAATTTCTAACTTCGTGACTTTTTCAAAGAAATGCAATAAAACTACAGTCACTGACTTAACGCCCAAATTTTCCAACTTTTCACGTTGGAACCTTTGCCCTACCATCAACTATAGTACCTAATGCACACCATGCACTAATATGAATATGATCATCATTATCTTCACTAGTCAGATCACTTACAATTCTTCCTTCGACAAGTCTATACTAAATCTTTGTTAAAAATTATCTTCCTTTAAACCTATATCCAATATTAAATAACAAATAATATTAGTTAGAATACAATTGTTTTGTAAATTGAAAATTACTTAAATAAATCACGTTGGAATACAACATCTCGAAGAAAAAAAATAAATTGTCCCATAAGAAATTGCAAATCACTGAATCATTCTTATTCATCGATCTCCTCTTTATCTTGAAGACGTATACATTTCCTGACTCCTCTCCCATCTGAAACCTGTATCTCTGTGATAGACCCCACACGACTCAGTAATATTCTCCCATGAGTTAGATTTATGACTGCAGCAATAGTAAAACCACTGTAGTCATGCACGAGATTATGAGTGCACATTTACTAGGTAAAAATAATATTTACTGCAGTGTAGTCGATCAGTGCACAGTAATGCTTTTGCAGTGCACGCGCACGTTGGTTCAGATAGAAGATGGAAAAATTTCAATCATGACATTTTGTAAAACATATGACCTTGAATCATCATGTGAAGATATCACTAGAGAGATAAGAATCATAGATAAGTTGAGACTCCCGTCGGGACATTGGTAACTGGCGCGACGGGGTGCACTCTCTAGACGTAGCTTGTTCATCAAGTGTAAGAGAAAGAGGTTGAAATGAACATCCAGGTGATCTGGGAATTGGAAAGCATGATTTGAGCATTCCTATATCATGTCCATCAGGATCAATAATGTCATAGAAATAAGGAAAAAAAATTATGACAGTTGATTTTAAAATCTTATCTTTTTATTAAAATAAAAATGTCTTTGGATAGATACTGCTGTCGCTGTTTTTTTTATAGTTTCAATAAAATGAACTGATTATTTCTTTAATGAAAGGTGAAATAACGATAAAATTTTATTTAAAAAAATTTCTTTGGATTAAAGAGTCGAGTAATTAATGATTCATTTTGATGAATGACATTTTTTCATTTCATCATAGAGTAAAATACTACAATATTTAGATTGTATTTATTTTATTTTTATTAAAAAAAAGATAAAGAAAGATCAAATAGAGTTAAAAATAAAAAAATTGTCAAGTAAGTGAAATTGTCATTTTTGAATGCACAAATCAAAGTAATTTATTTTTTACCACGCATGCGGTGAAAATGCCTGTTTATCCTACGGTTTCGTTCGGTCAAGTCCAATTTCCCACGAATGGCCCTGTTCCTAAATAAAACACGCCTAACCAAAAAATAAAACTCACGGCTGGCCCAAAATACACTACGGCAAATGGCTCCTCGCCATCTGTCGTGCGAACAGAAATTTTAATATAGAAATAAAACACGCTCTTTTCTAATCTGAAAATCTTCAAAGAACCTTCAAGTTTAAGTAGTTTTATTTGTTTTCTAGTTGATAATATGGATGCTTTAAACATTTTTCAAGCCTTAAGCCGCGTTTTTGAAAATAGGGATTTAGATGTTTTCCATAAATACTACTTAAGACCAAAATGATGGGAGCATTTAGAATGTCTGGATTCGAACGATAGGTATTTGGAAAGAAACATACAATTGCTTTATTGTACTAACAACCCGCCAGCATAATACACCAATATCGAGGGAGAAAAAAAAGAATCGATTTGAATGAATTATTGGTGAAAAAAATGTGACTTCCAGATTTCCAACTGTAATGTGGCATATCATGGTTGGTGAAAAAGCGAAGAAAAAATGAATATTAAACTGTTTTTAAAAAAAAAATGAATTTTTTTTATAAATTTTGTTTTTTTTTGTCTGCAGGGGGTCCGCCCCCCGCACCCCCCGTTGCCACCCCCTACGGATCCCACCCCGCCCCCACCTTGCTCTGCTCTTTATCCGCCATTGTGTAAAAATAGTATGTGCAACACGGGCTGGTAGCCGATTACAAACTCAGGCGGCTGAGCGCACTCGCTTCGCTCGTGCCGCCCAATGCGCACTTCGTGTGTGCAATCGTCTATTTTCCGCCCTTGTCACACAATGTACTATTAAATTGACTTTAAAAAATTTTCCGGAAGTATTTATAATTAATTGAAAAGATAATCAGGGTTAGATGGCCTTAGAAAAAGTATCAAAATTTTTATTCTTTTATTAACTTAATCTTTACTTGGTCACTTAACATTTTTTTATAATTAAAAATAAATTTTATCTTTATATATAAAATACACAAGTTCTTTTTCAAAATATACAGTAGAATCGATGTATTTTTAGCTAGAAAAATTGTAAACTAAATAATAATTAACAAGATTAATAATTGTAATAATTTTAAACTAAATCAATTGAAATTATTTGAAGTTAAAAATACATCAATTCTACTGCATAAAAATATTAGAATCCTTGAAAGACCATCTATATTTTAATAAAAAAAAGATTAAAATAACAATAATAATTTAACGAGTTATATTACACTTTATATTTTATTAATACTTCACTACATTGTTGCATTGATATATTACAAATAAATGTATAATGTTATTGTTAAAAAGTTACATATGGTACTGAAAGTGTAATAACATAATAAAAAAAATATAAACTGGCAATGGCTTGTATCCATGGTCACAGGTGCATTATCAATCCTTACGCAATACCAGACAAGACAAAGATAGTTAAGGGTCGTAATTTTACTGAGTATGAGGGATGAAAGGCGACGACTTATCGTCCGTTTGCTTGTGGCTTCCAGCTGTTCGAATATGCATACAATGAAACGCAAGCCATCCGTCCACGTCGAGAACCACGATGGTGAGGCTTTGCATTCCGTGCATCTATCTACTGTCCTGTGTGTAACTTGACAGCTTCCTGGCGGACGGATACAGACGGATTGAATAACTACGATAATGTAGTGTAAAATACAATAAATTCACTTGTGATAGACGTTGTATTGTACAATCTATCAAAAGGATTTTATCTTGCTTTTTATGGTAGAGAATAAGATAATTACAGCCTGGTGATCAAAGACGTCAGCAAATTTTTATATATATCTTCTACATTATATTATATATAATCCTCCAGCTTTTGATAAAAATCGTACAATATTTTTACGTTTTTTTTTTTTACTCTTTTTCCTTTTTATGGATATCAACTTATTTGTACTATAGACATTTACTATCATGATAAATTTAAATTAATATGATAAAACAATCAGAAAGATTTTGTCATAGTTTTGCAAGAATTACAGACTGCTGATGATACATATATTGATTGATGATTAGCATATTATATTCTGATACGACAACTATTTGCAGTAATTAAGTGTATATTGTGTAGATAAAACTCTTTCTGAGGTGTTAAATTTTTCAGTAAAATAAGACTTAACACTTTTTGATTTAATAAATATAAGCGGTAACTCAAGATTAATCCCACTTGTCATTTTTGTATCCATCGTTAACTTCGTAACCAAATTCTCTGTATCACCTCTTATTCACAATATTTAATAAATAATTTTACATTAATATTCATTGGTATTTATGTTTATTCCAATCACTGGGTTTAATTATGCATCTATCGGGTCTTTAGGTGCACAATTCAGGCACTCTGTAGTGGAGCCAAATGACGGTGCGGCCAATAACATTGAAATTGAGCACAAAATGATCAAACACTTTATAACAAACTGCAATTAAAACAATTAATCAATTTAAAAAAAAACCGAACCAAAATTTTATTTTTTAAACATTTGATTTATTTAAATAATAAATTTTTAATTTTCTATTATTGTTTTTATTTATTTTTTTAATTATTTTTATTATTTAAATAAAACAAAATATTGAATATATTAAATGTACTTACGCGAATCATTTTTCAAAAGATTTATATGATGTTGTCTTTTGCACAGAATTCTGGTTAAGTACGTCACTCGAAGAGCCACTAATTGAAACTGACTTGCGTGTTAAGATAATTACAATATATACTCCAACGTTTAGTTTATCTGATGATATATATCCTCGAAATTACTTTATTCATTTGGGGAACAGTACTAACAGTTTTATTGCCGCTTATCTCCATTGCCTCCCACTTAAAACCTAGCGTTTTATAGAATCTGAAATGGAGAAAATCTTTAATGACATTTGTTTTCTGGTAATTATCATAAAAATCAAATGAATGGCATGCTATTTGTTCACTAATGAATGAAATATTACTCTGAATAAATTTATAATCATCTAGTGGGAATAATAGAGCTAAGAATATCGAGCAATTTTGGGGGATAAAAATTTATGATTTATTTAGAGTTCTAAATCTAAATACCGAAAAAAATCATTTTCATAGTAATATTTAATCTTTGTTCAGGTTAATGACCGCAATTCTGTCTGGATCACATGTTTTAAATGAGAATACGAAATTATGTACATAAATTCGCGGTCATTTACCCTGTTGCGATTTATTGGCCGTCTTTATGTCGTTTTTATTTGTTTATTGAATTTCGTAGATATTTTAAGTGCAGGTGATGATGAAATTGTGAGTCAATTGTTGTTATTAGTGATTGCTTTCTCAACAAAAGAATTTAATTGTTTTTTATTAATTTGTTTAGACAATTGTCGGATTTAGTTTAGAGGAATTTATCGTATTGTGATTAAAGTAGTGTCAAATTTTATGCTCCAATTACTCGAGCACGACTATTTTAAAATATTGAAATCACTACTCATAGAATAATCAATTAATTAGTGACTATTGAATTTATTGATAAAAGAATTTATTGAATCAGAATAATTTCGAAGATGAATCAATTGATTTCACTTTTTGGTAAATCATAATTTAAAATATAGAATAATGAAGTAAATAATTGTTATACACTGTAAAACTGTATGTTTTATTTTTTAATACATTTAATTATTGTTATATTAATTTGAAATGAATGCAATTTTTATGAAAATGAGGATTCAATAAATATTAAATTCTTAGATTCACCTGATTTTATCTTAATTTTATGATTAATTGATTACATTTTATCAAAACAATTATTTTATAATAAACGTTCCAATATTATTAATCTTCTCCCAATATTTTTATTCGATTTGTCAAAGTATTGTTAATTTTTTATTTGTGATGATTTATTTAAAAAAATAATTAGACATTTTTATTGTTTTTTTTTAATTCAAAAACTATTATAACTTCAAAATGGCGGCCTACACCATAATCGTCGATTTTTTGAATGAATTTTTATTGTCTTCACTTCATCTTATCATGGGTCATGACATCGATAAGAATGAGTTTTGCGATTGGGCGTGAAGGGTCTTGTCTCCATGGTAACTCACCCCTTGTACAATGCTATACGAATATATACAGCTACACATTAAATCCACACAAATAAAGAAAGACTGGAAAAGGATGAGAAAACTGCTTGGGAAGCGAATAACTCGCAAAAACACGTAAATTAAATACACTGTGAAGGTTGATGGGGTGGAAAGAAAATAATAATGAGTTAGCTGTCTTACTCTCGAAACATAGATGTCACAAGAATATTAAACCTCCGTTCAAGGTTTGCCGTCGATCATAAACGATTTTAATACTTGACTTGCATTTTAATTGTCACATTAACACAGCATGTAATTTTTTTTTTCAACACCATTCTTGTTTTTTTGTTATTAATTAATGTGTTTGGTTTTGATATTCTGATGTTAATCAAGGTGTTTTAAATTTCATCAGCTGCTGCGTAAATGATAATATTCAATAAAAATAGAAATGAAATAGTATCTAATTCAAGTGACAAACAACATTAATGATCTCGTTGTTTAAGTAAAGACGATTATAGATTAATTATGAGTTCATACCTCAATAATATTTGTATAAACATTGTTTATTAATTATGTGTTGTTGTTTAAATTTTTAATGACATTTAAGTCAATAAAATTATTACTTAAACAATTACTTTATATTTTCATTCTCAAGTGAAATAAAAATAATGCAAATTTCTTATACAAAACAATTAATAATTATTATTTAATTGTAGACTAATGAATTTATTGATAAAAAAATTCTATTCATATTTTTCCTATATGTAACAGAAATTGTCTCATTATTTATTTAAGTAATAGAATGATTGTATCATTGTATAATAAAATAACAATAAAAAAATCTAATAAAAAAACAAATGGAGTTTGTTGGTTGCGAGCAAAGACTCTTTTTAAATTTCTTCTACGGTTTTCCAAGAAAAAATGCAATCTTTCATGATGAAAAATCTTTTAAAATAAAAAAAACATCATCACGAGAAAAGCGAAAATTTATTTAAATATGCTGAAGATTTGGCAAAGATGTTGACATGAATATATCATATTTTTTTGTTATTGAAAAATAATCTTTTAAAATTATTACAACGAAATAAACACAAATAAAATTAAACAACCAACACGTGTTCTTTATCTCTATAAAATAAACATATTTTGAATGAACAAAAGTCTTAATACTGATAAAATATTTATTTATTTATTGACTTATTGAAAAAATGAACTGAGATGTATTAAATGTCACTAGATAAGAAATTTGCAAACTCAAATTCCCGTTAGAAAAATATGTATTCTTTAAATTGGGAAGAATGTTAGTTCTTAAGGTAATATTACGATTTACGAAGAGCCTAAGATACACTGATATAAGTCCTCTTTAGATGGTTTAGGCGGCGTCCTTTGTCGTTCTTTTAGTGCGGCCATGGCAGAGGGTTTTTACCCCCATTGGAATCCACGAAACACTTTTACGTACGCGCTGAACCCATTGAAATGCAACTCGCGTTCCCCATACTGGTCCATCACCCTCACCTCCTCCCTCTCTCGCACCCTCCTCGCACTTTCCCTTTTTTCTTTCCTCTCATGGTAGATTTTATATGTATAAAAGCACGCTCAGATAAACCACTAATCCGCTTGCATTCAGGTGCTCTGCGATCAATCTTGGATTTTTTTTCTTGTGAACAAATATCCTCGTGCAAATGTTAAATTACTGAACTGAATAACTGATAAAAAGAAAGAATGAGATTGAGGTAGATGTGTATTGTATACCAACTGTACTCACAACATCTGATCTTTGGAATTATTCAATATTTATTTATGACACAAGTCTCAAGTGATTTCAATGTTTGCAACACAGTCATAGTTTTTTAATGGAGTTAACACTCTGATTGGAAATATTGCTTTACCATTTACCTTATTACGTTAAAATTTTCTGCAAACCACTTTTTCTTGAATTAATAGCCATCGTGATGAATAACATTCGTGTTCATAATTGAAGCTTTTTTGATAATCTTGAACAGGGAAAGCGTTGGAATGAATTTTTATTTATATAAATTAAAAAAAAAAACTCACAGCAACAGTTTTCTATTGATTTTAATTAATGAGAGATAAAGAAAAATGGTAAAAAATAATCAAATGAAAGATAATAAATTGAAATTGAGTGCAACTGAGAAAAAGGAGCATAACAATAATATAATTTTCAGAGTAAACATATTTATAAAAAGAGTTTGTACTGGATACTGATTTTCATGAGTAAAAAAACGCATCTGTACTCTCTTAAACTAAATCAGTGAAAACTATTGCGAATCAATTAATATTCAGTGATATCCAGTGCCAATCCAATGACTGATTTTTTCAGTGATATGATTGGCACTGGCAATCGGTGAACATTCACTGATTCGCAGTAGTTTTCACTGATTCAGTTTGAGAGAGTAAAATTAGCTTTATATGAGAAAAGGAAAATGGTAAAATTCATATCTCTATTGATATTCACAATTTTCTTTTTTGATAAATATTTACATATTATAAATAATTTGTTATTAAATAAAAAACATTCTTCTATTTTATTTAAAATTGAATTTTTTGTATTACTAATAAGCTATATATCCAATCCAGTTTCTTCCTGTGATCTTTATTGCAACGTTTTGACAGTAATGATTGTTATTTCCAAGCAATCCATAATTTTATATCTCAAAATGACATTTATACCTCATAAATATTAGTTTAAAATTATTTCAAATAATTGAGAATTACTTATTTAAACTTTTCGTGAGGATAATCAAAACTTATGTATTAAGATAATCAGTACTTATGAACTCTGATAAAATTAAAACACTACAATTATTCAACATTTATACTTGAAAAATTCCTCATTCTGTGAGAATTAAATTAAAAAATGTCATTAATTAACTTTAATAATTATCGTTTTTTATTATCAAAGAGTGGCTGATGCATTATGCAATCGACAATGCAGTGATTAATGTTGGCATCAGTGATACTCCATAAAAAAATGAAACAGCTGCTGAAGAATCTACATGGCAAGCATTATTACCATTCACAAGAGTGTATTTAACGAATATTGTTTTAAAATTGCTCATAAAATAAATTGAATGGCCAGATGTAGTGTCTGAGAAGAATTACATTTTTGTAATTTTCATACGTTTTTTACCAAGTATATGACCTACTTAAGAGTCTTTCCATAAGAGAAAGAAATAAAGGATGCGATCAAGAAAACGGGGAATTTTTATTGTATCATTCATCAAGACGGGAATGACATGCCGCTGAGACTTTGTAAGTAGATACTGCATTACTTAACGTGAATATTCGCGCTTTCTAACTGCCGGTCGGCGTTTATTCAAAGAGCGGAAGATACTTTACGTTTTCTCATCAAGAAAGTTCATTACCACGAGAAAAATCTTTTTCTATGCGTGTACATAATAACCTTGAGCTGATTATTAATGCATGTATTGTTTGATTCATACATTTATCAAATTTGATTTCATACAATGCAGATATTAGCATTAACCACTAACTACTATGAAGAGATTGCTGATAAATAAATCGTTTTTACATTCCCAGGATATTTTAATAAAACGAGAATGTTGTAAAGAATTTATTGAAAATTAAAAAATATTTTATTTTATCTGTAATTTATAAATAATTTGTAAATATTATTTTACGATTGTTAAACTTCTAAATATCATATTTAATTATATCTTCTAACTATTAAATTACTTTAATTACACTAAATAAACCATTTGAATTATGCATAGTACCATGCAATAAATGATTAATGGTAAGTAGTGGAATGCTACAAATTATTTAACGAATTGGAGTAAATTGTTAACGAATATTTCAAGTGACTTATCTCGCTATCGATGACAGATATATCTTAGGACACCAAAATAAGAAGTCGTTTTATGGGTTTTCGATAAAATACCAATTAATGAATGTTTCTTTTTTTACAAATAGCTATGAAAGTTGTTGTTATAATTGATTATAGAAAAACTACGCATAATCATCAAAAGAAGACGCGTAAATTGTTATTTCAAAACTTGTCAATGATTAATGTTATCATTGTAATGTGTCTGCAAGACAGAAGTGTATAGTAATCGTTTGTTCAATTATATGACGTAAATGGGTAAATAATTAGATGTGACTGAACACATAAAACTTGTCTATATTGGAAGATAAAATTATTTTATTTTTATTATCGCTTATATATCATTATTATGTTACATCAAAAAAGTTGAGATATTTTTTTAAGACTATTTTGCATTTTCTAATTTATATTTTTGGAAAAAATAAGATGAATTATATCGAAATTGTGTAAATTTCATTTGATATTTAAAATACGGGTAAAAGAAAGAGAGCGCCACTTTACAATGAGTGAAATTTTTTACCTTCGAACAGTCGATAAAGCAGTTCAAATCGATTTATCAGGTACAAACAGTGTAGCTGTGAGAAAAAGAGTAGGATTGACCCTTTCAATTCCCCTCGCGTGTCAATAAAATACAAGTGACAGAGTTAGTAAGATAATTGTTGTGAACTAACTTTTTGACCCCAATTCTTTGTTGGGGGTCATGAAGATCTTTTGTACCATAAGTGAGTTTTTACTGTATTTGTCTTTTTGCTTGAGACTTTATTTTCCTTTTTCTATGTCAAGTATCAGAAATGGTAGCAACTAATTTAATCAGAACAACCAGTAGAATATACTAATATTGTTTGTATGTAATTATGGAATTGATCGTGATATGAAACTTGTTGGAAAATTATTTAACATCACGAGCATGACTTTATGAGTAATTCATTCATGTGTTTGTATGTCAACTGTACAATTATTGTTTTTTAGATTACCATCATGAATTCCTGGCCACGCAGACGCTTTCGCGTGACGCCGCTTCGAGTGTCATGTGCTTTTCTGTTCGTCGGAGCACTCTTTTGGTATAATCTCGACAGAGAAGAAATACCACCACCACCATGTAGTATGCCTGAAGAATTCACCGAAAAATTACATGAATTAGTATTCAGGTTTGTTACAAAATATAAATTTATTGTTTTTGTTTATTTATTCCTTACTTTCGCACTTTTTTTCAAATATAAAAATGAATTACCGACTGAGTAAATTTTACCAAATATCGGTAAAAGAAATTTTTAACTACTGTAGATAATTGATGGTTATTAACTTGTAGTTGATAATAAAGACATTTTTTTTACCATTATATTCAAAATCAATAACAAGAAGAAAGTAAACAAATCAAATTGAATTATCTAATAAAAAAATCATTAAAATAATAAAGTTCCGTTCAAGGTAGCGATTGTAAGCATTTTTTTTTTGATGATTGGAAAGTTTTTAATGGTTTTGCTCGAGAAAAAAGTTTCAATTTCAATATTAAAAAAGTTTTATAGAATTTTTATGTAATCTTTTTTCATTCATTCGTTCTTTAAAATAAGAGAAAAAGATTTTACTGATGTAATAAACTTTTTATTCCTATCAGGGTCCATTTGGTATTGGCAAAACTTGGCATAGTTCATTTTCTTTGTTTCGGAGCGCTTTGGGGTCAAGTTCGAATAGAAAGTGCTTTACCTTGGGCCAGAAAAATTGAACTCTGTCTAGTAGATACATTACGAGATGACGGTCTAATTACAAAAGCTTTTCGCGAAGCTGGGCTAAGTGCCTCGTACATGTATGCATCAGGTGTATATCGAGTTCAAGAGCGTGATGCTGATGATTATTCACCAAGGGTTGAAATATTTGTCTTTGAAGAAGATTCTGTGGTAAGATACATTTGAGCCATCCATTTATTAAATGTAAAAGAGAATTATCATTCAATTAAACATATTCACACGTTTAAATTTTGATAAATAATGAAGAAATAATTTTTTATAATCTAGACTCAAATGATGAGAAGAGTTGGATGGACAAGAAGAGTTTTACCACCAGATTGTGAATTATCTCCAAGCCTACAATGTTTTCCACCTCAATTAGTAATTCCACCCTTACCAGCGAAACAGTTTGGAGGTCGACTTCTTCCAGTTCCCCGGGAGGGTATCGAATTGCAAAAATACCATTATCCAAATGATTGGTGGCTTGAAATGAAACCAACCGACTGCATCGAACTAAATCAAGTTCCAACATGAAATATAGTGCAGTAGAAACTTAATATAAACATCAATATTTAAATTCACGATGGAAAGTACGCGTTTATAATATTTCTGTGACATTGATATTTAATTTTAATGAACTACTGCTTTCGTAAAAAAATCCCCAAACATACGATATTTATTTGAAAGTCGTAATAGAAAGCCAATTCAGGAATAGACTGCTAGTCATTAATATAATTGAAGTAAATCTCATTCCGATAAAACTATTGAATTTTTATGTCTTCTCATAAATAATAACTGTTGTCTGATCCATCTTTACATGTTTTTTATCTAGTAAGACATGTTACTCTTACGCTTTTGACACAATCATTTTCAACTATTTTAATATACAAATTATCGATATAATAAATGTAAAAAATGAAAGTTATAGTTTCAAAAAATTTACAAAGTTGGTCTTAAATTATTATGACTCCAATAATTGTCATACATTATCTGATCAATGATTTTACGAGATGGAGTTGGTATTAAATATAGCTGATGGCTAAGGCAATAAAAAAAGAAATACATCAAACTAAGTTTCATTGCTAGGTCTCGATTGGTTTACTCTCTAATTTGTATTGTAATCATTGTACTTTATTGCTTATTATGACTGTGTTATTAACAATATTAAATGTAAGATAAGTAGTTTAGTTTGTATTTGTTGTTAACAGTAGTGCTAATGTTGAGCTCTTCCTTTAAGTAATTAACTATTATTGACTATTAGCACTTGGAAGTCATTATTTATAAGAATACTTTATATTTATAATCAAATATGATAAAAATCTTTTTGATGCAATTTTTAGTGCCTGCAGATTGGGGAACTTTATTGAGTATTATAATTTTTTTAGTGCATTTTTGAACTATTCATTTTTGCAAACTAAACAAAAATATTGTTAAACAATTTTTTAATTAATGTAATAGATGTATCCGATTAAAAATAATGTTATAACGAATTGCTAGAAAATGTTATTTAATTATAAGTTTTTAAAAATGAAAGAAAAAATTTTTGAATCTTACTTCATAAATATTTTTAGATATTTTTAAATTGAATAAGAGTAAATTTTGATTCTTTTTGATAAGATGGTTCCTATGCTAATAATATTTTAAATGCTAAAATTCTGTGTCCGTACTATTCCGTAAAAATAAGTGCTGTAATAAATAGTTTATAATTATCACTTCAATATAAATAACCATAAATTTATATTTATTGTAGTTTAATAAGCCAAAAAATTCACTCGACTATAAAAAAAATTTCGCATCGTATCACAAAGTGTTATTTACCTCTATGGGTTATTATTTTCAAAGCACAAGAAATTAGTAGACATAATACTAGAAGATGAATAATTGACAAATTATACAACACGAATTTTATTTTCTTTCTTCACATTCTTATAATTCAATTTTATCTGTTTAAATAGTCGGTGTATTAATAAAATACCCATAGCAATTTCTAATGTAAAAAATACGTTGCTTAAAATTCTAACGCCTTTTAGAAGTAATTTAATACTACAAAGTTACCAAGCATATTTCAAAGACCACAGTAGAATTTTACACTTACCTTGACTTTCGCTAGAGTTATATGCCCATAAAATAGTGGTAAAAGAAATTTAAAAGTGCAAAAAAGACCATACTTTCACCATAAAATGTTTTTTTTTATCGTCATAACTCTATAGATATTGATGTACATATTTTTTCAATACTTTCCTGTTTCTATTGTATTATTACAAATGCCGTATAGTCAAAATAGCTGTACCTGTTAATAGAAGTATGATGATTTATGTAGTGGTGTATTTTTTCACTAGAAATAATTATTCTCATTTAACACAGATAATTACACAAATAACAGATGACAAGATCATTAGTTTTTATGAATTCATTAAAGATGATAAATTAAAATTGTCTCCATATACATTTTAGTACACTAGAAATAAAAATTTCACTTTTCAGTAGAAAAGCTAATACATCAGTTATCTCAAAGATGATGGGGGGAAGTATAAAATCAAGTTACTATACAATCTTTTCAGTAAAGACTATTCAATCGTTAGACAAGCAACAGCATTAAATTAAATTGATCTTCTAAAGTTTCTCTAAATCTATTTAACTTTAAACAAATTACTGTAAAAATTCTACAACTGTGTTTGGGGGCTTTAAATGTTCATAAAATGGTAGTGTATTTTTTGTCTGTGATTATATTCCACTAATCGTATTTGTTTCACATCGATAAATCAATGAAAAAAAAAATTGAAAAAGTATGTATTTATATATAAAAATATAATACATTGATTGTGAAGATGGAAAAAAATTCGTATGATTGATTGTTTTATAGTTTTTATTTCTATTGGCGCTCATAGTCTTTTTAATGGAGTTCGTGCAATTATCAGAAGCATACAAGTCTGTTAAATCTCTGAAATATCATCGTCAAAAGCATTGGGGTCGTAGACCACAATGGCATTTATTTCCTCATTCACCAAGGCGTCGATTGCGAAGAAGACGATTTAAATCCCGTTATAATCATGAAAAGTGAGTAATGTATTGTTAATCCGATTAATAAAATCATACGTATTTATTTTTAATTGAATTTATCAGCGTGATTTACATACGACGTATTTATTTTTTCCAAACTTTTTAAGAGTATGTATTAACAAGATAATTTTTTTTTATTCAATTTAATTCAATCCTCGTTGAAATTAATTAATAAAAATTTTATATTAAATAATTGGAGAATTATAACTTTCTCTAGTTTGTTTAATTATTAAAAAAATTTTTAGTTAACTAAAGTTAGTTCAACTTTGAGTTTACTATTAAATTTAATTGACGGTTTTTTTGAAGGATTTTGTTATCGAAAAAATTAATAATCGAAACTTTTTGACATTTAAAGTCATATTAAAAAGGAATAGGAAAAGATCAATACACCAATAATAAGTGACATGCCAATAAATGAATGAAAGCATTCGTTTCCTAAATATTGAATAAACTTTCACTAGCATTATTTAAATAAACCAGTCATTGCCTATTCACTAGCATCTGTAAATTAGATTCTACATTTTTTCAAAGGTTTTTTTTTGTATATATATGTCAAACTACACGTTCATCTATTGAATTTCTTAGGAATTTCATTATTAAAGACGTCTTTTATCGTTAAAAAAGTAGATCAAGACTCGAATTCAAAATATATTGGTATCAATACTAACACAAGATTGTGCAAGAATTCAAAGTGCCTTTTTTAAGAAAAAAAACCCATTTTAGAAATTGAGTTGTCTTATTGAAGTGGAGATAGAAGATGAAAAAAGGCAAATTATTGTCAATTGTATTGATCTGTTAAATGTCTTCATCAAATTCAATCTAGAATATATCGAATTTCTTTTGAATGGAAATTAAATAGGTCATTTCAATAGCGAAATGTTAAAATTATTGTCAAATTTATTTTTTTCTCCATCTTATTGACCACAAAACAATATCACAACATCATAATGAATGTTTTTAAATTTGCAACGACAAGTATATCATTAATTGAAGTAGCTGTCCTTGTTATAGAACATTTGTACTCTTGAAGAGGATATAAATAAATGAAAAAATTTGAATAGTTACAAAAATAATTCAATTAATATCCATTATTTGAATTCTTTTATTATGAAAAAGTAAACTTGAATTCAACATATATTTTTTTTTAACAATTCAGAGTACATAATAATTTTTAATTATATCATAATAATATGTTTATCATAAAAAATATAGGAAAAAATAATTCATAAATGTATTTTCTTCGGTTCCATAAATATATAATATTAGCTTAATTTTTCAACAGTCTTCGGAATTGATTTTTCAATTAAAAATTATTTAATAAAAAATTACTTTTGTCTATTGTCAATTACCTAAAACAAATTTATTTTCATTCTTTAAAATCACTTTTTCCATTCAGTTGAAATAAAAGTACATAAATATTTTTTTTTTGAGTTTAAATCAAGAAAAATAGGACAACGTTAGAAAGTTTTGGACAATATGAGAGAGAGAGAGAGAGACACTCTAAGATAGAAAATAAAATACAGTAAGAGAAAATAGTATAGTTTGTATAAAAGTCATAAAGCAAGTTAATAATTAGTTAAATCTTATCTTATCCCATCAAGCATCAGCAATAACAGCAAACTGTGAGCCAATAAGTTTCGACTAGTAAGCTTTATGCATGAATTGGGATTCGATTCGCGAACTTTGCACATATTGTCATGAGTGAAATATGAGCTGTAACAGCAGGGTTGTACATACAGGTATATATTGCGAATATATACGATCGTGAATATGGACACGCCCTACTTTTGGATAGACTGCGTCTACATTTAAGGTCTATTTTGAGCGACAAGGCTTCGGTAATTACAGACTCTTGGTAGCTACTATTCACTATCGTTAAACCTAGTCTAATCGTGAAGAACAATCGGTTTCTAGTTACGTGTTTGTATGACCTTTGAATCCCAAAGGCCGTTTTCATATCCTCGAAAAATAATTTACAAATAAATTCAACGATGGTCTTTATTTCTTTTAGGTATCGTGAGAGATATCCATACCATTATGCTCATAATCAGCGGCCTTTTACCATTGAGCTGGAATTACCAGATCATCATGATGATCATCAGGAACCCTGGAGAAGTAGTCGAGAAAATGTCAGATATTCCGTACCTGAGGTTTATGAAGAAGAAGAAGAAGATAGAAAAGTAAGAATTAAGGTAATTATCTTCAATTGATCAATTTATTATTCTTTCTGAAATGAATTACTATGAATGAATTGGACTTGGATCAATAGTGATAAAAAATAGTGATATCTGATGACGATTCTTGTGGGAAATGTTCCTAGAGTACATATATATGGTTAATAATTAATAGAGTGAAAAGGAGAGAGCTATTTTTTTTTTGGTAACTTTTGCTATAATTTCTGTTTATTTTTACTGATGAAACAGTGGTGGGGGGATAAAGTTTTCTTGAAGAGTTTGTGTAATTTATTTATGTTGAATATACTTGAGAATTATTAGTGTATACTTTAGTCTATTAATTTTTGAAAAGATAAATTATATGGTAAATAAAAAATCAGATACATTTTCTTGAGTTTAACTTTGCAAATTATTTTTATTGCTGAAACAGTTTTCTGTTTGTATAAACAAAAAAGAAAGAATTGAGATGAAATGTATTTTTCATATTTTCGTATAAAACAAATTCTAGGAATAAAACACAAAACAAATTTACTACATCATTTCAGAATAGAAAAAAAATTATATAAAAGAAGTTTTATTCAATAATTAATCATTGAAAATAGCATTTTTTTTTTGTTAAAAAAATAAAGGAGCGAATAAAAATCTTTTATAAAGATAGCAGATTTCATTATTGCCATTTCATCCTTAGTAAATGCAGAGTGTGAATTATAATGTAAATAAAAGAGAAACTGGGGCAAGACAACCCCCTGGGGTAAAATGACTCTTTTTGAAAAATCGAGAAAATTCTTGCACTACTAAATACATAAATCCTTATTTATTTATTAGATTGTTTATTGCCGAAAACAATAAAGTTAATTCTAAGATAAGAATTTATCTATATTTTCCATAACAAAATTCTGCTATAAATATTTCTATAATTTATTGAAATCCTTAAGAGGTCATTTTGCTTGGATTTTCGTGAGATTTTTCATCGTTGTTTCAGCGAAACGTATAATATTATGATTCAATTAGCTAACTTCCTAACTTGCTGTCTGAATAAACATCACCTTATTCGAACAATTTAACAATTGATTTAATAAACTAAAATTTAATAAAAAAAAAAGTTAACGAAAAAAAACAAGTTAACATTATTATAAGTATCTTTTGAAAAAGTAAAAATAAAAATTTTCATGAATATTAAATGGCATGAATGTTTTATATGGTTTAATAATATTATAAATGCATTAAAAAATTGACCGTTAATTAGAATAAAATTATTCATTAAGTATATTTATCATTATATAATTAAATATAAATTTAATGAATAAATCAATAATTCACTGATATGAAAAAAAAACACTTGATTCATAAAAAAATTTTCAGGATATATTTTACCCTAGAGATCAGTTATATTCCCTTCTTTTACTTCACATCCGATCGATTTATAGTAGAAGGGTAGAATCTAACAAAATTATCCTTTCAACGCTTCAAGCTCTTCATTTTCTTCAACCTTACAAAATTACAGCAGCATAAAAAAAAAATAAACGTCACCAGTTATTTTCCATTTGTGGGTGGTTGAGAATATTGTGACTGTTGCTAATAAAAATATGAACTTCCTTTTTTTTCAGGTGGTCGAGGAGGGTAAATCGCATATTCGACTAAAAATATCACGAAACGATTATTTTGGAGCAGAACAAAACGTTAACAATATGCATAACAATTCCGTTCCAATTGAATCTATAGCGTATTCAAAAACTCCTCTGCATAGAACAGAATACACTGTACCTATAGTGCATAGTTGGAATAGGGAATAAATAAATGACAAATGTTTATTTTTATATCTCATAAAATTTCCTACATTCTCGTACTATTTTTTTATTAATGTATTTGTATAATTTTATATTTAAAATTTTATTAAGCTAATTTTTTATATAAGAAATTGTAAAAATTACAAGAATAGTTTATTCAATAATGAGTCTTGGAGCTATTAATACAATTGTAGAAAAAAATTATTCATTTTAAAAAAATCAAAAGCATAAGGAAATCAGTTTGAAGAAATATTTATCAGAGGAAAAAAAATACTAAAAGTTGTCGAATGTCAAAAATAAATGGTGTGATATTATTTATAAAATTTATAAAGCGAAGTGTGTCATCTTGATCGATAATAAGTAAACGTTATTTCAGAGCTATAAATATTCATGCAGCGATAATGAGATGTGGTAGATTAGATTAAAATGTGCACATAGATTTGGTAAAGTTGGTGGACATAAAATTTTGAATGTCATGTCAATGGAAAAAAGGGTCAATATCGTATCTAGGGTTTGGTTTCCAAATACCTCTGCTTCACCTTCTTCACCATCGATCTACCCACCCGCATTTCCCGCCATTTCTCCCGTTCTACCCCGTGCTTCTTTTCAACCCTCACCAATATGAGAGCTTGCCACGTCAAGTGCTAGAATAAAAATGAGGAATTCATAGGGGTTCTATTGTTATTTTGTTCAAGTTCTATTGTTTTCATTTCTTCGTTTTATTTCTAACATAATAGTCAACGAACATATACAATAATAGTAATAAATACTTATTTGTATGTCAACTTATCGATATCATATACAGGTAAGTTTTGTATTTATAATTGTCTTTATTTTTAATAGTTCGTATTCACTTCGATGAAATATCATTTTCACATGACTTATCGCACACGTCATTTCACGTTTATTAGATCACTGACTCGATAAATTAATTGGAGATTCATAAAAATATGCACCGCACAACTTTTGGATAATTTAATAATATGTTATAGGAAAAGAGAGAAACAAAATCAACGTGAATATTTTTTTTTTTATTAATATTTTGAAAATGACTTGCTGCTTGAGATTTTACCAGATGTTGCCTTCACATTTATTATTGATCGATAAAACTTTTTCGGTTACCATATGAAACAACGAATTTATTATATATCTATGCAACAATTAGGACTCATAACTATTTTATCTGTACACGGAGTCTTTTCAATTTAATTTAACAGTGTTGATACATCTAAATAAATACACCAGAGTTTAAAATTCAAAGATTATAATTGCTTTTTAATAATTGAACTTTGATGAACTAGAATGCTTTTTGGAGCTTTATAATTCCTAGACTTTAAGTAGATTTTTTTAAAAAGTTTTTTTTTCTTTTGATCTTCATTACTTTGTAATGAATTGAATAACAATAGGTCTAATGATTCTTTGACTTGTTAAATAAAATAAGAGGTTTTTTAAAAGCATGAAAAATTTTTTTTTCGTTTAATCTGAATAATAGGTTAAATAAAGAATACTTTAAGCTTTTGACGGGTCTTCGTTGATCAATATACGATCGTTCTTTTGGAAGTTATAAATGCTCAAAGTTAAAAGTGAGTTTCTGCTTTAAAAGCACATAATTCTGTGGAAAATTTTTGAAGAATTGTTTCAGAGAGTAGCTAATAAATTTTCAAATGATTCACTCAAGTATTTTTTTGTCTTTTATCGTAAGGTTTCATTCAAATTTTTACAGAAGAAATAGGAATTCAATTTATTCGTTATTTTTTTAATTTACTGAAATATAAAAGATCAACGTAAACCTTTTAAAACATTTTTTTAATTTAAATGTTAAAATAAATGAAAGAGTATTCTAGTTCATCGAAATTCAATAATACATATTTTATTTTTTCTCAATAATAACTAAAAATGTGTTTAATGTTCTTTAATTTTTAAATTCTAGTGTTTAATACAAGTTTTATGAGTTGTAACTTTATCAAAATATTTTCATTTTATTCAGTTTTTATTTATTTTATGAATATCTGTATATTAATATACCATTTCTATAGATGAAGAAAATTCAACTATTAATAAAATATTATTCATCATATTAAATAGAAATAAACTAAATAAATTTAATAATAATAATAAAATTAAAGTTAATATTAGTTTATTTTAGGAAAAAGCACAATTAAACGTTGAAAATGTCTAATTGAGATGTTCATGATATTTGTGGGCTACCAAAAAAAAGAGATGAATGGGATTTGTGAAAAGAAAATAGAGAAAAGAATAAAAAAACTTAGCTAATATATTGTGTATCCTGAAACGTGTAAATCAATCAGGAGTTTTAAATCGAACTTTGAAAATGTATTTTACTTTTCTGTGTACTCGTTGCTATAGAGAGAGTAGCCTTTCTCAACTGCACTTGCCAACTGTCTGTCGCCTGGTAACTTGCCAATGCTCAAGAACGTACAGATTCGATAGATTATTTGCTTTTATTATTCGCAACTATGGAGCATGTAAAATGAATGTAAGCTCATCCATGTGAACATGAATACAAGGCAGGTGAATAATAACATGTGGTCAATTTACTTGATTCGATATTTTGTATTTTCTAAATTCATATATTTTCATAAGTGTTTTGTATCAAATGTTGGATGTTAAAAGTCATTAAGAGACAGTTGATTACGTAATTGGATTTTCATTTTATAAAATAAAATTAAATTCGTTCAAAACGTTTGGATTTATTGAACCGGATTTATTTTATTAAAAACTGCAGTAGAGAATATTTAATAAATTGTGAGAATAATTGTGCTGGACTTGTAAGAGAATAAAAATTATTCCATTGTTCAGTGTAGCAACCCTTGGAGTTAAATAGAGTATTTTTTACATTTTTTTTTGTTAAGATATTATTGAGGTTACTCTTAATCTCTGTTGGATAATTGTATCAGAATTGTGTTGTTATTTTATTTTTTACCATGAAATGAAGAAAATTGTTTGAAAAAAATTGTTATGAATTTCTAGAATTTTTTTTTTGTGTTTTAAATTGACAAGATGTCATTTTGAAGACTATTCTACAGCTGCTCGAGTTCAGTAGAGAAATTTATGAGCTTTTTTTTCTTCTTATCAGGATTCCCACATTCTTTTAGGATTTTTGTAAGGAAACCTTTAATGGCCCCTTTAGAAAAATATTGAAGAATTTACACTTGAGAAAATATTTCAATTGCATCGTTTGATTTTATGGAAAATTTTGCATTGTATTTTCAGAAAAGTCCTATACTTAGTTGGAAGAAGTTTTAACAAAAGAAAAGAAACTACAAATTATTTTCTTTCATTGATATAGATTTTCTTTTTAAATAATTGATTATGTGAAGTATGCACATAGTTTTTGAAGAATAAATGTTGCAAGAATTTTATTACAAACACCTTTTTATATTGAGTAAAAGAAAAACTACAATACTTGAAAATTGTTAGAAATTTTCAAACTGCATTGTCATAAGCAAAAAAATGTGATTGATGGCCTGGATAGTATGTCAAAAGTTTGTTCTTCTAGTGTTTTTATTGTTTGTTCAAATCGTAGTCATAAAAAAAAGAAATTTGATTTTTTCCAACTATAAATCATTGAATACATATAAGTGCAAATGAAATAAATGATCTTAGCTACTTTTTTTGCTAAAGAAATAAAATTTAATTAACGATTTTGCTTTAAGTTAGACTGAAACATTAAAAATTTTTATCAAGATTTTACAAGGCGCTAAAGTGAAAATTATAGCATGGGTTTCAAATAAAACTTTTTAGGGACCCATTTTCCTTCGAAGGTTTCCTTAATTATTTTCTACCCAAGGATTCCGTAATCATTAACCATGAAATAATTTAAGATTTTGATAATAATTAAAATTTATTCCTCTAAATTGTACTTAATATGAAAAAATATATAAGCATCGTTAGAATTGCTTGAAGAATTAATTTTAATAAATAAAAAAAAATTTATTAAAGTTTCTTTTTGAAACTTCTTTGAACTTTAAGAACTTTACAATAAGAACAAAATTCTTTAGTACTTATTTAATTTTATTTAACAAAGAAAACTATTTTAATTTAACAAATTGTTGTTATTTTCATATTCTTTGATCACATAAGACTAGAATCAATCTACTTTCTAAATGTAAAATCACAAACAATTTATGTATATATATACAATAATACTGAAAATTATTATTTGGTATGATTTTGAAAATTGTAAGTAATTTTTTTCATAAAAGGTCTCTGCCAAAAACTCAAAATAACAAATACAATAAATTATTTAATTGATTTATTAATTAATTCAAATAATCATGACAATAAATTGTGAATTTAGCTACTTTATCAACCCCTATTAAACACTGAAGAGTCATCAGGAAATACTTTATAATATGAAATTGCAATTGAGATTTTGAAACACACTACTATACAATAAATTAAAATGAATTTTTTCATTTTTTTTAAACACATGACAATCACAGTTGAAAAAACAGTGAATTTTAAAAGCAAGCCTTCATTTGCTGGAACGAATAGCCATTAAAGAGAAAAACAATTTATAAAAAAAATATAAAAAATACTGTTAGAATTGAATTGATATAAATATCGAATAGAATGAAAGAATTTCCATTTTTTATTCAAATACCTACATAGTAAACAAACAACATATGCTTCATTTTTCAAATCTAATAACATAAAATTCTATTTACTATTGATTCGATAAAAAAAATATATACTTTTTTTTATAAAAAAATACGATGTTAATAGAAAGTAATAATTAATAGCATTTTATATCTTTTTACAAAATATTCTTTATCGATTTCCTTGTTAAAATGTATAATATAATGCACCTACTATAACAGATTAAATTTTCTTGAGGGTAGTTTAGTGGTAATACAAAGAGGTAATAGGTAATTTATTGCATAAAACGAAACACGTTTGTTAGCAAAAAATAAATGTTTCTTCTCTTTTCCCTCATTCACAAATAAAATGTTAAAATTTAACTTTATACATTTTTTTAAATAGGCAATCCGAAGACAAGTTAGCAACAATGACTTTTGTAACCTTTCTTTAAATCCCCCACAATATAATTGTTCTATCCTTTGCTATCACTCATTCGTTGGGATTTATATAAACATAGAAACATACAAACACACTTAATTCTTTTTTGTCGATGCGAAATTACGTAAATCATCTACAGTTTACCATTATTTTTATTGAAATAAATTTCCTTATTTTTATATTATTACAGTATTATTTACGTCAGACGAATTTTTCTCTCAATTTATTCCCTTAATTTATTATCACTACTATATTTTCCGTACTATTGTTAATACTCCTTTTTACTTACGAAGCACTTTTATTGCAAGTTAAAATTGTTTTTACATTATTTATTTAAAAATTATTTAATCTGTTATCGAAGCACTTATTGCATTAAGTTTAAGTTAATTATTTGTTATTTTGTTTTTTTTAAATTTATTTATAATTTTTTAATGTATTTGTCAATTAATTTATTTATGAAACTGTCATTAGCATAAAGATATCGTAGGTAGTTATTTAATAAAATGAACCCTTTTACACATCGATCGCGGTTATTTTGGTAGGTTTAAATGAATTGCTCGTACAATAGAAAATATCACATCAATAACAGAACACAAATTCGTGAAGTTTCAGATGTATCCAGTGTTCAATGACAGTCCATAAATAACAACTTTTTTTATTTCAACTTCTTCAGTATCATGCATATCTCCAATGAAGAAATACACCTTACATGCTTTTTGAGTATCGTGTATTCAATTTCTCACGTTGTTGATGAAAAATTTTCCCTGTATGTCACATTGTGTGCTGTTTAGTATTACTTTATTTTATCAGTATGACTATATCGTGACCTGATGCTTTTTGTAATATTAACGAAGCTTAAAAAATGGCGTTGAATCAAGTAGGCGCGTCCTAGAGCTATATAGATATGTGATTCGATTCGTACAATGTCATGTACATTTGAGCAACATCTAGGCAAAAGCGCAGATCACTTAGGCAATAGCCTCGAAATATTTAGTTGATTGTTTGTATTATTCTACTATTTTTATTTCTTTTTATTTGTATAATTGATTTCAACGGTCGAATGATCATGAGAAGAAGACTGCGACTGAATAAGTTTTATTTCAAGAAGAAAAGTTGCAAAAACTCACACATACTTTTCTGGCCATTGTAAAAAACGATAAGAAAAGTTCCATGTTATTTTTCTCGTGGATTGTGGGAAAATATACTGGGTCTTTTCGATATGACATGACCAATCAAAATCTTAACAGTTTATATCCATTGTTATAATCACAGACAAGGTATACGTGAAATGATCAGTGTTTATTCTAACTTTTTTCGCTGTTGCTCATTGTTTTCATTATCCATCATTCTCTTTATTAATTTATTTTTTACTATACTCTTTTCTTATATTTGAATAAAGCTATCATTGCATTATAGATATTTTTTTTATTCGATGTCACTCAATTAATAATTATTGGAGTTTGACGTTGATGTGAACTGTCTACATGCCATGAGTTACATCATCATCACATTGCTGATTTATAAATTATAATAATCAATCACTCGATCGATATTAAATTTAATTTTCTGTATGTATTTCTGTCACTTTATAAACAATTGTTTTTTTTTCTACACTCACTGTTTCATCATTTAGAACACTAGTCCATTTTCTCCATCACTGTTTAGGCCATCTTGACAACTACAGAATCAGCTTAATTGTCTTAGTAATGACTTGAAGATTGTCATGATGATTTATTAGTTGACGGGGCTATGTCGCATTCCGCTGAGGTGATAACGAAAGAAGTGGAACACTTGCTGGACCCTCCCCGTCAAGCGAACGTCATACAGGTGTCTCAAAGGTCACCTGGAACAAAGCAAACATTTTGAAAGATTTAAAATAATTTATTATAGAAACACTGGAAACCAAGAATAGTAAAAGGTGAAAAGAATTATTGAGTTAAAGTAAGACTTGGAGTTGAAAGAAAAAAGTACTAGATTTTTTATGATGGATTTACGCTAAGGAATGGTTTGTTTTTGTTTTTCTTTTCTTAAGTCATTCTTTTATATTTAATGACTTAGGGTGGATTAGGGAAATATGCGAGAGTTAAATTTAAGTACCAATAACTTAGAAGTCATGAACGCTAGGGCTATTAAATAGTAGTTAATGTGAAAATTTGTTTAAAATGAGTGATAAACGTTAATTATTGTCACACGATTCAGTTATTCAGTTGTTAGAATTTTATGGGGTAATTTATGACAGAAGGTGTGTGCTTGTCTTTACATTTTTTACTCACATCATTACGGTGTATTTATAGAAAGGATTTTACGTTATAGATAGGATAATTTTTATCTAACAATACAATGAAATCAAATGAACAGTAAATAAATTATTTTCAATACGATTGTTTAAAAATTTTTAATAATTATCGTTTTCAATTATTGAAAAATATAATTTTTAAAAATTTTTATGATAAATTAATTACTCTTGAATAAAAGTTTATGATTCATCCATAAAAATGTATTCAATTAAATTATTATTAATAGATAAATAATTAAATAATGATAAAATAGATATATTTTTCATTGAATTCATAAAAATTTAATGATTAATTTATTGATAATAAAAAATATTGAAAACATATCAATAACTAATATTTTTCATGTGAAAATTTTTTGCTTCAATTTCATCTACTTAAAAAAATTAAAAAAAAATTATAACACTGGAAGCAATTCAACTTACTCCAATAGTAATGTAAGCAATAAAAATGGTTCAATTAGATTATAAATCTTCAAATTATTTGTGATTATAAATCATCAAAAGTATTTCCTTTCATTCATAATTTATTACTCTAAGAATAAACTCCTGTGCAATATCTAGAATTTCTACAAAGCTACATCGTAAACTAAACAAAATATCATCATAACTTCCAACCCAAAACTTTCCCTACATATTAAACGAGTCTAATATTAGTTCATTTAGTACACTTAAATAAATTTCTCATGACTTTCTTTCATCCATTTTTCCCTCGATTCAACGATTAGGGTGTACGAGGTAGGCTGAATATTTTTAAATTCTCTCAATCATTTTATTTCCCCTACATAATTTTCAGTGGCTAAAAAATCAATAATTTAATGCAATACGAACCTCTCTGGTTGTTTTTTTCGAGCGTTTTCGCTCGAGTTTTGGTGTCTGTGGTAGTAACATATAGTCACCTCCAGCGCCACCAGCACTCCGTTGTCTGGTGAGTGGTGGATGTGTTACAGTTGAAGCCCGTGGAGGTGGTGAGAATGTGACACCTTGGGGTATAAGTGAATAGCCAGCAGACTGCTGCATTGAAATAAAGGGTGAAGTCACTGGAAAGTGGTTAGCTACCACAGGACTCCAGTACTGATAAGAGTGGCGTTGAGGTGAAGTTCCTGAGAAGATAATTAAATTCAATTAAAGATAAAAGAATGAAAAGGAAAAAATGGTTATAATTAATGGATCACGTACGTGGATTACTATGTCTTCTTTGTGTTTTCCACGTGTTTGACCTGACTCGCCCAGCAGTTTCCGTGTTGACCGCGTCCACGCTCATGCTCCTTGCAACTCCCCTATAAGGATTTGATACAGCATTTTCGTGTGCTGCTGCTACTCCTGCTAGTTGCTCGTTGAGAGCATAAAGCTTAGACGTTATGTCCTTCCCAATAAGAGTATTAAGAACGACTTTGAGTAAAGGTCGATGCCTGAGGACACGCATTAGTTTCAGTCTCGTCCAACAGATGTATGTGCTCGACTCTTCAGCTCTTATTGTTACTTGGAAGACATCGTCAATATTCTCATGAGTTGCTTCCCACTCTGGGGAATCCACGAACTGATAAGCCCTCACGTAATGCAAATGTGTTCCATCACACGTGACTTTGAGTCTAGATTGAAACAAATGTTATTTTTAGTTTATATACAGAGATAGAGGTGTGATATAAGGGAAACTGAAGTCAAGTAAGATGCTGAGAGACGATGGAATAATGAAGAAAAATTGGTTGATGTCTGCAGCAAGGACGTATTTCTCATGAAAGACGATACTTTGTACTTCATTAATATTTGTTAGTAGTATTGATGAAATGTTTTTCTTTAAATTCATTTTATAGAAGTTAAGTGGTATTGGAAATAATTTTTTATTATAATTGTGGAATAATATAATTGATGATTGATAAGGAAAAACTTTTGAAAAAATGGTAGTTTTAGTTGCAGTTGAAAAAATCAAATCATTAATCTAAAAAGCTTCCTTTAAAACATAAATTTTTCGTCTTATCAGAAAATCCTTTTACTCCTAATTGTATCAGCGTTACAAAGAGTTAAAAAAAAGTAGCACAAAAAGATAAAAAAACAAGAAAATATCTGTTTTCATAGCTTTCTGTTTTTCCTGACTATTTTTAGTTATTTTTGTTTTGAAAAAAAAAAATTATACGTTTAATTATAAATATCGATCGCTACCAGTTATGAAGGCTATTCATTTCATCATTTTTATTGAGAAAACTTATTTATTCGAAATCACACTTTTTTTCTTAAAGCGTAGATGTTTACTCATCAATAGTTTGCAAAAGTTTCAAAAAAAAAAATAAGTTGAAGTTTCAAATATTAGCTTATTGATAACTAAAGTAGAGTGAAATTGCTCAAGTCGTACACTGAGAAGGAAAATAAATGTAAATTTCAAGAAAGTTGAGCTAATTTAATTCATTTCAATCTTACCAAAAGCATTTATATAAATTCCATCTCCATTAGTCAAACTTTTAATCAATCACACTGTTAAAAATGCTGTTATAATTTGAATTTAGATATCATAACAAATGTAGTATGTATGACTAAAGCTACTACAATACTACTTGAATTTCAAAGACGCATTCAGATACAGCTGATAACCAATATCAATTGTGATAAACAAGTAAATACTTTCCTTAGTTATTGTTTGATAAATATAAGCCCCTATTATCTGATGTTAACAACCCCTCTGTTTTAACACCCCTATATCAGTAGACCTAAATGACGTAATGTAACAACTTTTTTCTTCTTAATAAAATTAAGAAAGGTAAGCTAACGTATCTCAAAACATAATTTTAAAATCGTATCTAACATCTAGTTATTTAAATGTCTTAAAAAAAAATAAACCATTACAAATTAATTGAAAAATTATATAACACTTAAACAAAAAAAAGTATAATTATAGATTTTGATGGAATAATGTTTTTTAATAACTTTAAAAGTACTTTCATTATTGTGTATCTGAAAATTTCAGAGACATTTTATTTAAATATAAGATTTCACTCTTAATTATCGAAGATTATTTTTTGATTTAAATGATTATTAATCTTTAAAATCTGAAAAAAAGATGCCTTGTTCTCAATCTTACAACTTCAGTTTCCCCTATTTCATCAAGATAAATGTTACTTACTTGCCACGTAACAGGATTGAAAGTCTTTCATCAGCAGGTGAGACTCCTTCAGTGGCGTATGTCTGTCCAGGATCAAGCTTAAGAATTCTAGCTTCTTTGGCAAGTTCCTGGAAGTGCTTTTTGCTCACTCGATAAGGCTTGAAGAGCTTGAGATAGAGTTCAACAAGCTCCGGACTTAGAGCTGGTGGTAAGAAACGACAAGCGAGAATGAGGGAATGTATGCCATTAAGTAGACCCAGAAAAAGAGACCAAAGCATTGCATCAAGGGCACAAATGGTTATTCCAGCCCACAGCGCTGCTAGCATAAATCCGGCAGTCAGAAATGTGCGCAATGCCAACACTGAAGCCTTGAAAGACCTTGGAACGAGGAAGGCAGCAGCGAAGAAGAGATTGGCTGCCTGTTTAGTCATTTAGATAGTAGAAGAAATATTAATTAGCACAGAGATAGAATGAAAGTTGTTTTGAATAAAGCAATTAACCTGATAATACAATGAATTCAGGCAAGTTCTGTGCGGTTAACCCAATTTTCTGGGTGACCGCAGCAGGACGAGACTAGGCTAAACAGCTCTGCACACTACTTAACCATGCTACCACACCACAAACCCCAAGACAAGCACCCCCTATCTTGTCTCACCTGGAATAGCTTGTGTTGTGCTGCCTCCCATTCGTCGCAGTACCCTCCAGATGATAAAGTCGTTGAGTTGAGTCTCCCTGTTACGTTGCTGGCCACCGTACTATTCCAAACGTCTATCCAGAGCTCGGTATAGTTGAGATCATCAAGAGAGTAACCAACCCCGAAACTGTTTGCAAGGCTATAGTTGAAACTATAGTTGTCACTTGCATAGCCTCCAGTTATTGTTCCTTCTATAAAAGGCGTTGAGCTTGTAGTCGAGAGAAGACTGCTTGCAGATGTGGCAGCGTCACTCGTGTTGGCCATCTTTCGTCGCGAGCGCGCTGTCCGGGCCATCACCTTCTTCGCCTGTAGACAAGAATTCAATTGAAATGCTTGATTAAATGGACAATAAACTGAATTAGAATTATTATTGGAAATTGAGATTGAACTTGCTTTTGTGCAGAGTAGTTTCAAGAGAAATTGATTTATTTTTTAAGAAACAAATCATTTCTTCTTTTGTATTATCAAAATACCATTATCAATACTAAAAAAGAAAACATTTAAACCATTTTTACTAGCAGTAAATTTACTTTAAATTTACTTTTGGCTAAGGCTAAAATAAGGAAAACTTCACAGTCTAGTAAAATTGACTTTAATTCTAGTTCTAGTTTTAGGGAGTTGTCTAATTAATGGGTCATGAATGAATTAAAGACATAATGAACAGAGTTGAAGTATTTATGTATTTTATGTTAATTATTATAATTTTTCGTGAAACAGTTAATAAAATATTTTCTAAAACGATGTTCAATAAAAGAACTTCTGAAGTAGAAAAAAGTTTCCACGAAAACTTCACTTGTTAATTCGATTTTTCAGAGTTTCAATGAATGAATAGCTGCTTGCTCTAGAATAACAATTATATCTTTTCTATTCTTCTAAACTTCAGATTGAGTTAGTTTAAAAATAATTCTCTTTATCGTAAGCTTTCAAATATCATTAAAAAAGTTACTCGTTGATTTTTTAATTGTCGATTTCAAGAGCTTGAAAAACAATTTATAGATAAATAAATCTCCAAAAATGTGTAGACATGGATAGTAATATGTATTTTTATTTGAACGAAAAAGAACAATAATCTAAGCTTAACTATATAATTAGAGGTATCTAGATCAACTGGAAAAACTGGGGAAAACTTTTGCAATATATAAACGTGATTATCACCCCTACAAGAATAGTTGAGAAATTTTTTTTTTATTTGGATTCCCCTGTGAGTGGAAAAAAGTGTTAAATTCGCAATGTCATTTTTAGAAGATCACCATTCTGTGAATTTTCAAAATTTTTCAGCCATTTTAGTCAGAACAATAACCAAGCTTAGAGAGCTTAAAATTTTTTCTCATCTTTTTTTAGAACATTTTGATCTAGAATTCACAATCGTGATAAAACAATGCTGAGCTTTTTCTTCTCAGTTACATGCATAAGTTCACTAATATTTTTTCTACATAACAAAAATTTATGACTGGAATTCTTAATAAATTTCTAGTGAAGTGAAAACAAAAATTTTTTAATCCTTTTGGACATATCAGTAATAAAAATAAATTACTGTCGAAAAAATACTGGAAATATTTGTCTAATTTTTATTTTCACTAGCAGAATTTTTTGTATGTTACTTTTTATTCGTAGTCAAGTAATAAATGATTAATAGTATCATTTTCCTTTATTGAGAAACTATTTCCTCGACTAATTGACTTTTAAGACCACCTTAATTCTAAAGTAAAATTCAATATCCTTTGAAATTGACTTTGTCCAATGCGATTAACAATAATAGAGTGCTGTAACTGACAAATTACTTTCTTTCACACTACAATGATCATCCTAAATGAATAGACTTAAGTATTTACACACCTGGAATACTAAAACCAAAAGTTAATATCGAGGTCAACATGACAAAGATCTTTTTTTAAAACGCACTGTTAACTCGACAGACTTGAGCTTTTTTCTAAAATAATGACTCGACACCGCACATTTGCCAAATATCGACCACCTTCAAAGTCGGTAACGGAAGAAAAGATTTTAGATTTTATCTTCGCTGCGGGACACCTGGAACTCAAAGTGCTCACGTATACTATTACCTTGGTAGCAAGTTTTCGCGAACGATGTCTGGACTTTATATGTCTTAGGGAATATAGAGTGTGTAATAAAAAGAAATGGCAGTGGCACTTTTAGAATAAACTTCACTATTCCTGACATAATAATATATTTATTTATATCCAGATTATTTTAATTAAAATTACTTCTATTACACTAGACATTGGTATACCCACCAACTGACGTTGATACATTGCTGTTGCCTGATCTATGCATGCTGAATATGTAAAAATGTTTTCAGACTACTTCACATTTAACTACACTGTAATAATATTTTCTACTAGAGAGAATATTTTGTTAATTTTTATTTTACATGAAATTTATTTTCAATTTTATATGCATTTGAGAATGATTTTAAAAGATCTAATAAAAGAGTTACTTCGTATATAAGCTCCTTTATGTGGATTTTCGCAAAAAAATTTGCATTAAATGTATCAAAGAGTTTGCAGTAGTGTCAAAGAATTACTGTTGAAGGCTCTCATAAGGGAAACTGGAGGTAAGAATGAAAATTCATCCATGGACTGGTATGGGATTTAGCTTTACATTTCCAAGAAAAACTGTTACATTATGTTTTGATGGATTCAGTCTTGAAAAAGTTTAACATGTTAAGGAAGTACATAATAATATCTGGAAGTAGATAATTTTTTCCTTGACAAGAGAAAAAATATCCCAGTCGAAAATGAACTTAACTATATCATTCTTGGAAAAAAAAGCTTTACAATAAAAGACGTTCAATACAAGTTGGTCCAGTAGTTCCGGAGATAATCGCGAACAAATTCACATATAGAACGACAGACATTGTATTATATACTAGATAGATATATAGAGACTGTTTCAATTTCATATAAAATTTTGTGGATTCCATGTACTTATCTATAACTACATTATATACTTTTCACAATTGAAATTTTAATACACTCACAATCAGATCTATTGATTAAATGTATTCTCATGACATTAATAAAATTTTATTATGCAACAAAATATTAGTTTTACGTAACCAAAAAAATTTAACTGTTTGTAGTCTCAATATTGTTCATTCTTTGGCTGAGGCTAAATACGCATAAACGTAGATGTAGTGATGGACAAAATTGTGTAAACAAGTCTTTACTACCAATTGTCTCACTTTGACATTATTGTGAATTACATTTCTGTGTGTTTATCTGTTGTATCTTTTGTTTAGCTCCATTTATTCTAGAACAATTCTTCAATTCAACGTGAAATTTTATTCAAAATATTCTTTCAGTTATGCTACAAATATTGTACTGTATATTATTATATTATTTAACGATAACGATGCAAAGATATACCCATAAAAGAAAAAAAATTGTTACCTTTCATGCTTTACCATAGTCGGCTCTCTTGCAATTATTATTACAACGTTTAATTGAGAATGAACATCGTCTGACTACAAAGTGTGCTAACCTTAATTAACAGAGTGTACTCTTTGAATCATCAATGTACTTATATTCTTTTAAGCTGTACTATGTATTACAGAGGTATCTTACACACTAATTAGTTGTAAAGTTTAGTCATGGAAGTGTCTTCTAAAATAACCTTCACAAGAAAACCGTTACATGGAAATTTTCGAGTGACGACCTCCGGTGTCAATAATTAGATCGATTATGTAGGTAAATTTATTGATAGAGGTTGACCTCATTTACCTACAGGGCTAATTTTCCGAAATAATTATGAGACAGTGACAGGTTATGTCTATTTATATACTTGAGGATGTGTATAACTTTTGTTGAGGTTTTTATTTATTTCAATTTAAAGAAAGAAAGACGCGTATATAATTCTAGAAAAACGTCTCACCTTTTGATTAAGACCTAAATCTGTAGAGAAAAATTTTTCTTTTTATTTTTTGAGTCAAACTTCGAGTCCAGCCTATCCTTAAGGTGTTACATGTATTACATAATACAAATTTTGTGTTGATTTCTAGTATAGCTCAAGCTATATCACCTTGTATCAAGTAACAATCGTGAAATAGTAATAAATTACATTCATTTTATACAAATAATATCAGTGTGAATGGAGATATTGAACTGTAAAAATATCTAAAGCCTATTTCTATATTCATCACAGCTTTGTTTTCTCCAAATACTTTAAATCACCATCGATTTAAATTACCAGGATTTCTTGATCAAGTGCTTTTTTAACACTCTATCAGTAAATCTTAAAATCCTATTATTTAACTGGACATCATTTTCAAATAGTTGATAAATAGATGGTGTTACTGTATTTATTGTAGTTTCATGTAAAATCGTAAATTGTATCAAGCAAATTTACACGATGAATACTATCATTATTAATCAAAATGAATACCTGTGTTCTGGTCGATTATCAAGGATCAAAAGCACATGGTAAGGTATTCACCATGTTCCGATCGATATTGAGTGTAGCATCATACGTTCAACACGAGAGACTGCACCTTTTTACATTAGCACAATTAATTTCATTCATTCCGTTTACAATAGAGCTATGCCATGCATCTACTGGATGACAAATGGATGTTGAAAATTAGCTAGATAACTGTGATATTTGGTATTTGATCATTTTTTAATTATTCAAGAACATGGCTGTCAATCATCAGAAATATATGTCTGATTAGTTTGATAGAAATGTGTGCAGTAGAAAAATAAACTAAACACTAATCAATATTCATTTATATTTAACAAACTTTCTCTCCATTTCGTCTTTATTAAAAATTTTTGACTTCAATTACTCAAAAGTAGATTCAAACATTGACATATTTTTAAAAATATATTGATAAGTTACATTCTCGAATTAAAATCAGTACCTGAAGGAAATAGTTTTTTAAAAAATTAGAAGATTTTACTGGAAAATAAATTCAGCGTCGCTTCGTCACATTCAGATGTTTTTAACAAAAATATTTTTCAGGTATCGAAGGATGGAGGAGGAGATGAATGAATATTTACATAGTACAGAGAGTGGAGTTTTCGATTAAAAACTTACCAATTAAAGTGTTTTCTGATCACTCTGAAGTACGAAAAAATGATAGGAAATAGATATGAGAAGAAAACAAATTGAATTCTCTTATCAGTTAGATGGATCTATAAATATATTCTAGTAGTATAAATGACAAGAAAGAATTGATTGGTTTTTATTAAAACATAGTTCAAAATTTAGTTTGAAGTAAAGTAGAAAAAATGACTTCAGGCATTGTATGATTTGAATCACAAAGTTTGCTCTTTTCAATCATTCTTCAGCACGCAAGAATACCCATGATCATAAACAATGACTGCAATAATGGTGCATCCATCTACTTGAAAATAAGAGACAAAAAGTAGATAACATCAGACCTAACTCTGTTGACTGACATTTGCACTGACATCTTTCTTTATATCAGCATGTTAGTTCAACTGACACAATACTATTTGTATCCATTTGTAAAACAACAATTATGAGTAATCTTCAAAACTTTCATACATTTTAATTTAGAGTTATTTCAAAATAATTTGTTTCATAAGTTTACATCAATTCATACTTGATACGTCAACAAATTTAATTAATTTTAGTCTTCTACAAATGGATTAGATAATAAAAAACCATTACATACAGAATGAAAAAAGCTCTGATTATATTGAAGTTTTTTATTTACAATGCAACAAACATTACGTTTCAACATAGAACTTTTTTCATATGAAATTTATACTGCTAGACGATTTTTTGTGTAGCGAAAAACTCTATATTATAAATTTATGGAAATATATATTACATGAGTGGCAAAAATGTTAGCTCATTCGAATTTTAATATAATTCTACAATGGTTTCCTTTTTATATGCACAAGTTTCAAGAGTACAATCCGATTTTTTCTGTTACATAATTTATAAATGAAATCTTGAGTGCAAAGGTTAATTCTCATTTTTTTCATTTAATTTATCAATTGTTAATACAGTGATAATATCACAATCATTTCTTTCTAGTAAAAGAAATGTTGTAATATTTTTAATTGGATTTATTTTTGTAATCAAATAGGCCAAACCCACTTATAGCATCATTGCAGTAGAAATAACAGAAAAATGTTCTATTTGAAGAGAAACAGAATTCGAGAATCTGGTCAAGGTAAGCCATAATTTCATTTCAATGTACTTACATTCACCAAGTGTTAACAAATTGTTAATTAAATTAATTATTGCATTGATTGCAATCCAACAATTTATTCCTCACTTACTCATTAACTCACGGTGATTCGCAAAGCAATTTTTATTATACCTATAAATAAAGCAAAACCTTTCACTTTATCACTTTTTATATCTATCAAAGCTCAATCATTTCTTACTTTTGATTAATTTCTAAATGTAAAAGTCCAACATAAATTCAATAAATTAATCATTGCTAATTTTAAATTAAATTCTCCAAGATTTGTTTGAACTGTAACTATAAAAATTTTCAATTCTAATTAAATTTTATTTGAAATAATTCTTAGTCTGATCCAGTTAAATTGAATTAAATCTTAATGTATCTGAACTCGAATAATAGTAATAATTTCATAAAATGAAATCTGATGTAGAAGTTTTTTCTAATAATTGAAAGAAACCCAATCCTTTATACCTACAATTGTGACTTGGAATGAATAAAAGCAATAATTTAAGAATCTGATTAAATTAATTGGATACAATTAATACAAGCAATTAATTGTTGTTTTAGATAAGCTTCTTGGAACTTTTTCAGTGATAACATCACCATTAGTGCACTACTCATGTGTCAGGATATATCTATAACACATGATCCAATCTTTGGTGAGTGAATTTTCTGATATTTTCAGCTCACAAAATCCAGGACATGAATTTTTCTTCGTAGATCCAATATTATATGTATAGATATATACAAATATACTTCTATTATCAACAAAGTGACATTGATGATCATGATTTATTTTTTATCAACAATTTATTTTAGCTTCTGAAATCAAAAAGCTCTCGTGAAATGACAAAAAATAATTATTAGAGTTTTATATATATAGACTTTCAATTAATACATAAAATATTTCACCACGCAATCTTTCCTTACTATTAACATAAATTACACAGTTCATTTTTTTTTTTTTTGTTTAAATTAAAATGTTATTCAAATTTATATTTAAATACATGCTAATATAAAGTTAAAGATGTAAATTTTTACTTTCAGCTAGAAATTACACTTTATTAGTAATAAAAATAATAATAATAATTGCACGTAGTCCACAAAAGTTGTAAGTAGGAATGAAATGAAAGAAAATTGTGATAATTGGGTAGAAGTAGGTTATTAAAAGATGGTAAAATGATCTTACAAACATAAAAAAATTCTAATCTAATGTGTAAAAGCTGTAAATGGTTAACAAACCAAATAGACTTGAGCGGCTTTCAAGTCAATTTACATTTGCCTGCAATTATTTACGCCATATCATTTGAGACTTGATTTTACCTCATTTTAAGTCTTTAGATTCATCATTACTAATATTCAAATGACTTATATATATATCGATATTTACCTATTAAAAGCTTTTTGCTAAAGAAGGCTGTTGAAGGAAAAAATAGAATATTCTTTTTTACTGCTACTGTAATCTTTGTAGTCTTCTTTACAATACCGTTGAGTAATAAATCGATTATTCCTAGCATTCATTTTTGTCAGGAGCAGTGTAAAAATGCTAGGCAATTTTTTGTATCTGTTCAAGAGTTATCATTTTGTACATACTACATCTTAGCATAAACCATTGATATCTCTCGAAACCATTTTTATAGAATTTTTATCTGCTTGGCAAACAATTTTATATCCTAGAACCACAATCATATGAATGTTGAGAAAAGAGTAAATTACTTGGAATTAAAGAATTTTAGATTTATTGATATCGTCAATTTTAAAAGAGAAAAAAGTAATAACTTGGAGTATTCCAATTGCAGAGAATAAAGACTTGAAATTCGATTTGTGGAGGTTTAGTATTTTATATGAAAAATCAATTTTACAGGTAAGTTACCACAGATATTATTTTTCTTTGACATGAAATTAAATTATTTCTAATTTATTTTTTTACAGAAAATTGAATTTATTATTATCAGCGATTAATGAAGAATTTCTAACGAAAAAAAAATTATCAAACTGAACGATCTGATGATCTTCATCATTCTGGATTCTCTAAGGAATAGTCAACTAAAAAATTTTTTTATGAAGAATACAATCATGAATATCATTCAGCAGTATTCTTTTGTCGATATTAAATATTAATTTCAATCAGAAAGACTCTTGAGAAATATATATTCTTTACATCAAGACTAGAATATAATAAAATATTAACACTAAAAAGCACTTGGTGAGTTTGAGTGTAATAATCAGAGCAAAAAATTTCACCTAAAAATAACCATTCGAGTTTCTACTCTCTTTCATCAATATTACGACAGCATTTATTCTCGTTTGAAAAATTAATACCATCTCTTTTGAATGATTTTAAAAAGACCGATATTTTTGTATAGTTCAAAATGCCACAACATTACAGATAACAAAGTGATTTTTTTTTTATGAAACAAAAACTTTAATCGTTCGGAAAAAAGAA